TCTTGACTAAAGTAATTATCAAGGTTGACCTTTTGGTGAGATACTGCCAAGGAGGATGTGGGAAATTACAAGAAACACTCTCAGATTAGTCATACAATGACGAAGTTGAATTAGATTTTGTACAGGAAATTCCGCAAAAGTACAATACTCATATGTTCTGCGAAATCGCTTCGTAATAGCTTCCTGTCCAGTTGCTTCGGAACTCCTACTAAAGTGTTCTAAATGAGTTCTAATAGACAAAATCGTTCACTAATGACTAGGGTAGCAATTCAGTGGCTCTTTGTAGGACAACCAACCCCTCCAACCTTCCTCTCCCTTCTCTTTCCCTATCCCTACCTCGGCTCCCTAGCCCTGTTAGTTATTCCAACGACTAAAGCTCTTCACACAATGTACATGGAAGGGTGGAAGTGGGAATCACGACTCCAGAAAACTCCAATTTTTACGTCGTAGCCACATTTTGGAAATGTGCCAAAAAATGAGGTCAGAATTGTAGTAGTTGAAAAGTGGCATGTTCTCCACGACGCGATCCATGAGTCGAAGCAGGATCGAAGCATAACGAAGCCATGGACCCTATCACTTCCACTGGGTCCAAGACAGGGACCAGATCCTTTAGAGGGGTATTAATCCTATCAACTCTCGATCTGCCCTATAAGTTATTCAGACACCTGAGCTTCACCCTGGAGTGGTTCCACTTTGGTCACAGAAGCTTTGTTGTTTCCCGTTTTGGCGACTTCTTCGTCAAGGGGGCCTCAGCCAAAGCTTAGGTCTAAGTACCACATGGGACGAATAGAATAAACAATAACAATTACGTTTTTGTAAACAGGAATAGCTTCACAATTAGAACACTATCGAAAGTAAAGAAGTTCAGCGAAAGTTTCCAAAGACGTGCGCATTGACGAATTCAAGTTACTCCTCGAGCGGAGCCGGGGAGGTAGCTGAGATGTTGACGTCGTAGGCCGAAGAGATTCATGAAAGCACGTAGGGCATGGAATAGAATAGACGTCACACTGCATGAAAGAGACTTCATTTTGAATAGAAAGTACGCCCTAATGAAAAAAAGTCTAGAAAATTCGAAACAAAGGAGAGCATTTCCGTCACCTGAAGTTTTTTACATGAGCAGGATTACCTGGCACTCTATGTCGTCACAGCAGCTTATTCAGAGGCATTAAGTACATCTTCTGAGAAATGGTAATCATGAACTTATTTTCGTTCTCTTTCATGTATTGACCTTTCAGCATCGGATAGCCCTCAGAGAAAGGAGGCTCCACCCTCCAGAAGAGGAGTACATCGAAATAAAGTTCGGGTAACCAGTTTGCTTTTTGCTTGTCCCACTTCAAGGTCAAAGTAGTACCAAGAGGTAATCCTGCAATGAATTTGGTCTTAAAATCTTGGTTCAGGACCCGCCCATGCCCATAGAGCCTTTATCCACAAGGACCGCTTTGTATTTATCGGACCCGTTCGGATACAGGGGTTCCAACGTGTTCCTGAACGAAGGACTTCCAGAGCAAATCCGTTGCATGGTTACCTCTTGATACTACTTTGACCTTGGATAAGGCATACCCAAAATGTGTCGGACCCATTTGGGTACAGGGGATCCGTATGTACTGTCTGTATGTGCTGTCTTTCGTCAGGGCCAACGAGTCACTTTGTAGACCATGCTCGGTTCAAAGGTTGGAAGGGTCATCTACTTCCCCTAACCTTCTCTCTAAGGCCATGGGCTAGCTCCTATTGTAAACTCAAGGAAAAACAGTTACTCGAGATGTCCCACCATCCTTCAATTTCGTCAATACTTCAAAATGGCAGCGTTCTTCTTTGCTGACCGCAGTGGTTGTTCTCGTTATACGTTTTGAATAAAAAAAAGATAAATAGAAAAAGTCCTAAAATTTCAAAGGAATTCCGAAGAAAAGTGTTCGAGAAAAGCAACTGGAGAATGTCAGCTACGCACGCCTAGTTATTTTTGTTTATTGCGTAGCTCTTTGTTTACGTTTCGACATCATTGCATGTACATGTCAACAAAATCATCAAAAGAGATGAGTATCCACTAAAAAGTAGATAGAAGAAAGACGAACGTTTCATTTATGGAGAGAAGAGAAGGAGGGTGCCATAAAAAGCGACCAGAGCCTGACTGAACTCAAGCGTTTACATTCAGCGACCGTTGGTATCTAATAGAATTTAGCGCCAAGGGGTCGCGGTTCATTAACGTTCTATTGTAGCCCCTCCTCATTACATCAAATCGGAGCCCTCTTGACAAAGTTGGAAATACATTAGGTAGAGCTCAGAATATAGATCCCCAATTCGAACCTGGTACTGCCTTCAAGTAAAGCTGGCTTTCAAGAAACACTCACTGGTCCAGTCTATCTTCGTAAGATAAGAGGGTTTTCAGCCACGGCCAGAGCTTTTGCAGTCCTGGAAAGCTCGAAAGTCGCCCTTGATGAAGGGGAATTACCATTCGCCGCAATCATCGATCACACATTACATCTACACCGAAAGTTGGAGTCCAATTGAATCGCGACGCGAATACCGGACGACTCTTTGATAGTTGTCTTGTTGCATCGAATTACTACAAACATCGTAGCACTAGCACAAAACGCGCCTCCTCGTCCAATTTTCAGCTCTAACCCAATCATTGCCCTCCAATCTCTCATCATCTAGTACTTGATTCTCTTCGATGCGCGGCGGGTAAAGCTATGCTATTCGAGTCTAACGTCACACATCATTAAGGAAATATCAAGGGCCAACGATCGGAGTATTTCATAGAACCATTTTTGACATTTTAAAATTCTACTCCCCATTAGACAGATTGCGATTCCTCTAAGTGATCAGAATATGAACACAGGTTAACCTCATGGGCATCGTTTAGGTCAAAAATTCTGACATGAGATGAAGGTATGTTTGAAGTTACCTCAGTAAAAGGTAGTTTTTAATCCATAGTTGAGGAGAATCTCTCTTTTCCTTGAAAAAATATCCAGGTCATCGATTCGATTCAAATGCAAAAGATCCGCAGCGAGCAGGATTCGAACCTACGCGGGCAAAGCCCAATTGATTTCTAGTCAATCTCCTTAACCACTCGGACATCGCTGCATGGCTTCATGGGTGACAAGGCTAACATGTAGACGATGTACATTTAATAAGGTCATAATAAATTCCCAAATAATGTTCGATCCTTCTCTTTGTTCAGATTACTAAGTGGGGACCCATCACTATCGACTTCAACCCGCGTTCAGAATACAGTTGGTCTTCAATAGATCACCTCAACACCTCAGATATCGCCCCGTATTTTGTTTGTAGGAGGTGAATTGTAGTTAAAAGGCCAATCTGCACTTATACCCTTAAGTGAATAACCACCCATTGATGGATCGATCTGGGCTGTCAGAATAAGTTTTGCTATGATTGTCATGATTTTGTGCTTCTCTTACACCATTTCTTCCTCTCAGTGGAAGCGCTATTGGAACCTTGTCCTGCTTCCACAAAACGAAATTTCAATAAGCAGGGATGTGGGGATTGTTATCGTTGCACATTTTCCCCATAGATTTGCCATTATCTGACCACTATAACACCTTCGATCGCGAAAAGATCGCTGCTTTTGACGGTCCATCCAAGTTTCACTTTTGCAATCACTAAAGGGTTTCAAGTCCAAATTGGGGCTTTGCATATAGACTACAGTACTTGCGGTAGCAAGGTCGGCGCTTTTATCTTCCCAAGCGAATTTGGTTCCAGTTGACTGACTCTGGATGGATGAAAGGATTGGTTGAGCCAAGCATGAGTCAGTCCAGTATTCATCTCGGACCATGCATGTGTAATAGTGCGCCACTTGGGAAAATTTACGCTCATAGCTTTGACGATATAGCCCTAATCCTAAAAAAAACAGCTTTACAAAATTTAAGTAGTTATGTAGGGAGGCAGGCAAGATCCTCAAGTGCAACATTGATTCGAACAAAGAAATCAAGAGGTACTGACATTAAGCGAGGAAACGGTCTTCGAGATAATAGGTTTTGAAGTATTAAAATTAAAACCCATCATTTAAACAAGAGTTAAAACTCTTTATAAAAATTGAGGTAGTATACTGCCCGAAAAAAATAGCGAGTAAAACCTTCTACATTTAATTGTATGCCCTATCTGTAATGAGGGCAAAAGACCTACAAATGCTCAACAACCTTTTTCGAAAATTACTCCCAACATAGATGGAAAAGCACAGGACACTTAGTTGCTAAGAAACAGAAACCCCTTTCATAGGGAGTAGACTGTTTTCTTTTGAGCACTGCTATCTTCCCAGTTGCCTTGGAGCGAGAGACTTTATGAAGAATCCCTTTGTATTTCCGCCATTAGCGGTTTTTTTTTCGGAACACATATTCTTGCCATTCGCCCTTGACCCACTCGATTATGCTCAGCCTGTGTGAGGGAAGGTGATTGAGCACCAAGTACTCGGTCCATTGATGCAAACCCTGAAAGTTTTCTTCAAAGCCCGACCACAAACCGGGTAACTGTTTGCCTAGAAAACGTATATGGTGATCTTATCAGTTCCCTTCGTTTCACTTCTTTTTCCTTCATTGGGCTTTTCATGGGAATGAATGTTCATGGACTAATGAACTTTTGGCGTTTATCGATCCCGCTTTTGGGTAATGTGCCCCGCACTCGACTTTCATTCAGAATTGTAGTGGCGTTTTGAATGTGTACTTGGTCGTATAGTGACTTGCGGAGGCTATTCGATGTACAAGTGAGCGTTTTTACAGTCCCACACGAGTCTGGTATCGTATAGTCAATCGAAAGGATTCAAGGCTTCATAAGCCTGAACGGTTAGCATCTAGAATTCGATCCCAGGAACGTATATCTGTTAGCGCGCCATTTGCTGCTCCACCACCTCTGCTCAACGTAATTCTGAATCCGATCGCTTTGGAGATGTTTTTTCATGTCGGGGTTTCAAATTTTTATTGAAACACGACAATGAGGTAGTTAGTTGCATGAGTCAATCGACTGACTACTGTGTGCTCTTGAGAAGCTATTCAAAAGCATTTGCGATGCACGATGGCAGCACCGTATTCATCGTACTCGGACTTGGTGATCCACATCATTTGGAACGTCGATAACGACGCCAGTACTGAACCGCCGATCCATACCGAGTATTTACGCTCTGGCGGTGCCATTATTTTGATTCTCATCGTGCTGAAAAATAACATGATCGGTTTCCCACTTCTTTGAAACCTGGGCATCCCAAGGATGATTGCATAGATCTACCTTGGAGCTAATGATGTAAGATCCTTCTTCATTCGGTCATTGATACCTGGGAACATGGTGGTACCACCGGAGAGCACAATATTGGCATAAAGGTCCTTGCGAATGTCAATATCGCATGCCATGATCGAGTTATAGCAATTCTCGTGCACACCACCCGACTCTTTTCCAAGTAGGCTCGGCTGAAAACCATTCATGATTCTTACCAACTACCGGCTTACCAACCACTATTAAAATTTAAGTGTGATCCAGGCTCCCGAACTCGGTTGGTTATTCAATTATTTTTGTACGTCCTGGGCCGAGCTGGACACAATCGCTAAGTAAGCACTGGTTTGACTATGCTCATGTGCTCATAGAACCACATTTTTTGTCAAAGGAGATCTCAATTAAGCTCAGGTTCACAGCCCACTAATAGGTCCACAGGAAGGTACCAAGGAGGAACTGGGGCCGGGAAGTCATCACGATACTTGCTCCTGTTCGAAAGCATAGGTCGGCTGGCTTAGGCCGATTGGCTCTGCCGTTTATGTACTGTGGAAGAGCATGGACTCCAAAAAAGTCTAATAATGGAGTTATCTGAAATGGCACAATAGAAGTTCAACAACGGGTGAAGCTAGTGGACTTTAATCTCTCGTGGTATCTAGACAGCATTTCGGAAGGACATGCCATGTGTTGACACCTCGAGGACCACTGCTCCTTCCCAGATAATGTTTTGGAGGTTCCAACACAGAATAACGGTAGGATCTCGAATACCACCGTGGAGCACTGAGGTGGGAAGAGCGGAAGAAATCATTCGGGCTTTCTCTTTCTGTATCTTCTTCTGCAGTTGCGGGCATGGCCATTCAGAGCAGAAATGCTCACTTACTCCTACCCGTGTTTATGGGGTAACTATTGAAATGTTTATCAGTTTAAGAATCCGCACCTGGAAGAGAACTTCTGGTGCTCGGAAGCGTTCGCTACCAATTCGAATCTCCTGACCATCAGGAAGCTCGTAGTTTTTCTCAATCGATGTCGACTTCACGGATTCAGCTAGTTCCTTTTCAAAGTCGAGCGCAACATAGCAAAGCTTCTCCTGAATCAGCAGCTTCACTCATGGACAGCTGTACTCTGATGCAACAGCCTTTGAATACCCGACAACAGCGGTCAACCAAACCTACCTTGATATCACGACAGATCTCTTTCTCAGCAGTGGTTGTGAAAGAGTAACCGCGTTCAGTAAGAATTTTTGTGAGGTAATTGGTCAGATCGCGTCCGGCCAGATCGAGTCGTTGGACCGCGTGAGGAAGAGAATAGCCCTAAAATGACAGATCATGTTATGTACTCGATGTGGATGAACTCACTAAATTCCAACCTCATATGTGGGTACCGTGTGAGTTACACCGTCACCCGAGTCAAGCACGACACCAGTGGTTCTTCCAGAGGCGTATAGTGACAGAACAGCTTGAATGGCTACGTAAAACGCTGGTGTATGGAAGCTCTCGAACATGATTTGCGTCATTTTCTCCCGATTCGTCTTCGGATTCAACGGTGCTTCCGTAAGCAGCACAGGATGCTCACTGGGCGATACTCGTAATTCATTTTCAAATGCATGACGCCATATTCGTTCCATATCGTCCCAATTCGTCACGATTCCATGCTCAATGGGATACTTGAGGGTGAGGATCCCTGGAAAATAGAAAATGCTACATGGAATTTTCAACGCTATAACTCTTCAAGAGCAGAACTCAATAGAAGGATGATGTTTCGGGAGCTTTTCCTTTGTAAATAAAAACATGCCACACGCTTTTTATCCTCGAAGACATATTTTTGGGGGCTCATGGCAATCTTTCTGGGATGTATGTATATGCAGTTTCACCTGCCGTGCAGGAGATTCCTTTTCTACCCTTCCTACTATCCAGCCTATTAGAATGAGGCGATAAGTGGCGAGTAAATAACTGGAACCATTTTTCTGCTTGAAAGCAGAGTTCACGACAATAATGTCTTTCGAGATTTCCTCCCAGGATTAACCTGTGGCCCCCATGAATAGCACGTGGGACATTTTCGGGTCAAAAAGTGACCTCGGTAGCGTGTTAAAGGGGCTTGACCGATGTACACACTCAAAGGTAGTCGTGTTATGACAGCATTGCTAAAGTTGCACCACTCATAGTGAAGCGTTGAGACGCCGACGAATAGTATGCCCATGTAGGATACACCCAGACGGTTACAGACACATAATCTTGTGCCACCCCCTTCTTTCTACTTTCTCGAACCCTATATTGCTCAGAATCCTCTGATTTTCGTGCTTTCATCGCTATTTTTGCACTTTTCTGTGTCCTTTATTTCACGTAAGCTAGATACTTGACATCATCGTTTTAAGCAACGTAGCATGCAGCTTGCCCTCTCTCACTGAAAGGAGTATTTGGACTGACAATAGGTTGCTCATCCGTTCACGAATTCTACCTAAGCGAGAGGTCAGCACATTTGAATAAACGCAAAGCTAGCAATATTTACATTTCGAAAGGATATTGACTCTTTCGTGCTCTCCGTGGCGCGTTCAAACTTTGCGTTGGCATACTGGACGACTCCGACATCCGTAGAGCCCATCCAACCTGCGACCGGTCGGTAGGGGTATTCTCATATAATTATCATTCTCGTACTGGTGGATTGTATGGAACTGTCAAATTGATGGTCTTCAGGGCATTTTCCAATGTATGGCTGCTGAGCGGTGTCTTCTCATTTCACATAGTCTCAGGGGGTTAACCAAAGGATCACACCATGGATAAAATGCTTGATCAAAATCAAAGCAGAGTTCCATTCCAGACCGATTGTTGCGGTCTGGGCACCCGTCGAGGTGATAGACATCGGCCGTCAAGGCTTCAGCCTCCTTGCCCATCGGCTTCTTACCACCCATTCCGCGCCCTCATATGACGAGTGGATCAGCCTCGAAAGAACACCTGGCTGGGTTAAGTCAAACTTTACTCAAGGCCACCAAAGCTGAGCTGATTTCGTGAAATGCTCAAGATCGGGAAGTCGTTAGAGCTATAAATGCGGAGTCTTGAAATCTGCTTGCACCGTTAGATAGGCTTCAAGCTTCAATCGTCACACTGCTGGTTCTGAAAACAGAAGTTATTGATAGAAAAAATTCTCACCTCTCTTCGTCTGAGCTTCTGCTCCTACAAACGAATCCTTTTGACCCATACCGACCAAAATCCCTTGATGACGTGGACGGCCGACGATTGACGGAAATACGGCTCTGGGAGCATCATCTCCAGCAAAACCCGCTTTACACATTCCAGAACCGCTGTCGATTACCAAAGCTGACAGCCTCGATAGACTTACGCTTGACGTCATTTATGAGGTTTCTAAAGGAACGCTGGTTGAACGATTTCTGGATACCGAAGCTCCGATGACCAAAACACACACCTTTTGGAGCGACCGCACAAGAAATGGTTTGTAGCAAACTGCTTTGACCATCCTAAAGAGAGCCATTTGATGAAAACGGCTGATATGACTGATAACTGTTTATCTACAGAAACAGTATGTATGACATGTTTCAGAGTCGGAGCTTCGAGCGTTGAGCGCACCTCCTGTTGACGACACCGTTCCTTCTTTGACTTCCACGGTGTAATGTGACATTTTCAGTATGTTAATATGAAGAGTTGCACGCAGATTTGCTTGCAAAACGGTATTATCCAATGCGAAAACGTTCTCTAACGCGGTCTAACAGCGCCGGCGCGCTCAACGCTCAACGCTCTACCCTGAAAACATTCTCTCGTTTACGTCCTCACTAGTTCATTGCGAAACTCACATTCTCGCGCAATATCTCACGGAAATCATCCCATTTCAAATGAAAAGCAGTGTGTTGTAGTGTAATAAGCGTGCATAAAAACGATTCTTCATGGGACTGAATAAATATGCGTAAAAAAGTTACTTCATGGTACAAGTATGATAAATAGCATACAGTGGCACGAGTGGATAAAACGAATCATTCGTGTGTACAGACAGACACTAGATATACGCCTTTGCACGAGTTATCGATCAGTTTAAAGCTATATACAACGACATCAAGTAGTTAAAGCGAACGGCAAAAAGGAGCAGTGGATAATTATTATGCAATCTATTATACTATTCGGTAAAGTAAACGTACAACGAAACTACTGTTGAGCGCAGCGACTCGTGTTAGCCTTACCTTCCACCGAATCAGAAAGTTTTGCCGTTTTATCAAGTTTCATGTACAGAGTTGTGTGTAGAGAACGATTTGGTGTGGCTGAGTTTTCTACGACCGATTCTTGATATGATGTTGGATCAGCTGCTATTTTCCCTAAAAATATGTAGGGAAGTGATATATCTCGATGATGGACCATCCATGACGAGGGTCGAGGTAACGCAACTGGCAGTATTCGGGTGGTAAGTTAATTAGCTGACTTCATAGTAGCACACAACTTTCAAAATGCCTTTCCAATACGATCAAGTCGATCAACATTTGCGATTGAAGAGTAACTTTTAGCGCAGCTTATCGACGACCTAACAAAGGAGGTCAAGGAACGATTGCTCATTTCTGTTACTTCTACTCTACTTTTGTTATCAAGAGTATACACGATGACTGCTATTGCAATTTGAGCTCATTGCTCGAGTTGAAACCTTCGCTTCTGCCTGATCGAAATGATCGGACGCCCCGGAATCACTTCACAAAGTCGGCAGAATGTGGGTTGGATTTTGAGAACGAGATGCTTGCGGTACCACAGAAATGAAAATGCGGTGCAGTAAACCCTCTTGACGCTGACCTCGTATGCCACTCCGATGGGGACAAGAAAGAAATTAAAACACACAGAAATGAAAATGCGGTGCAGTAAACCCTCTTGACGCTGACCTCGTATGCCACTCCGATGGGGACAAGAAAGAAATTAAAACAAAGTGGGTGAATGACCCGTTCAACCGGAAATAACTGTGTCTCTCTTATTTTTAGGCTATATGAACTTAGTATAACCGATGTACTACGTGCTGCTCCTCATCTACCTGCTTTTTTGAGAGACACAAAAAGTCTCACAGTTGATACAGGGGTGTATGTACTACTAGGTTGGGAGATAAGTCTGATTATACTGTGGATTGAAGGTTATGTTTAACAGAGAAATATGAAATCGTATTGACCAAAGTATTGCAACCAAGACTTATCGTCCAACCTAATATATGTAAGTAAGTCAACCTGTTGAACATACTTCCATAACTCCAAAAATCCGCAATACGCTATTATTCACCTCAAACCTGCTGTCCGGCTGTCCGATCAAGCGACTTGCGGCAACTGTGGGGAAGACGATTACGACACGTATGACTCCTCCTGAAAAAAAAGCTGTCCAATCAAGCGACTCCTTGGCAATTGTGGGGAAGAAGACGCCGACACGTATGACTCCTCCTGAAAAAAAAAATCGTCTTTATCAACATAGCATTTCCTTGGAAACAATTTTGGAGTGTACCTTAGCAACTCCTGATTGTTCTGTATTACGTTCGTCATTGAATTCCCTAAAATTACCGCGTCTAGAAAGGCTGGGAACAATGAATAGCTACCAATACTAATCCACAAAGATCAGGACTAGGAAACATTTCTCTGTTTGGTGTACTATTTTAGGATCCCAGCATGAACCATTCACAAGTAAATTGGACTACTAACCAGAATGAAAATGCAAACGGAAACAGAAGTAAGAATAAGGTGAGGAGGTATAATACTTAATGAAGGAAAAGGGTGTAGAAAGGAACGAGAAGGAGGAGTAGATATGATAGGATGACAAAGTACAAGGACAATGATTGGTTGAGAAA